CTCCCCCAATCTGTCTGGAGTTTTCCAATGGTCGGTTAGTCCGGTGTGCTTTCTGGGTCTTGTTGTGCTGACTGGGAATTTGCAACAGGTGTGATAGCCTTGTCTGCATCGCGGCCACGGCATCCATCCTCATGCTGAGTAGACGTGTTTATCATGTGGGTCCAGGGGTGACTAGCTATTCAAAAACTGGTTTTACTCTGACTGCTGCTTTCTGGTTGGCTTTTCTGCATTCTTTGACTTTGCAGTATATCCCCCCCCCCTCCCCTCCACCCTTGCAATCTTTCAGTTTTGTATCCTGCAATGTTTTTATAGTGCAAGATTTGTTTAAATTACTTTACTGCTTAGGTTATTTATTTGCTTTTTATACTGTGGTGGTAAGGATTGTTTTTACTTATGGTTGTGTAGTTTGTGGACATTCTTATGCAAGCTGGATTTCTGTCATGTGTCTGGCTTATGTGCCTCCTGACCATAAAGAATTAAGGAACCTCAGTGACACGCTTCCTTAAATCCCGCCCCCATTGTAGTTTGTTTGGCTAACTTGTGTTGTCTCATGTGACTGGATATCATTGATTTACAGATGTCATCACCAATCAGGAATCCCAGAACTGTTTTGTTTCATTTTGGGAGGGGCGAGGCTGCTTTTCCCAAATGTTGTGGTTTGGGGGGTGGGGTGGGGTAACGTGCTGTGGCCCCCACACCCTCATTCCAGCCCGTTTCCGTTAATCTGATCGGTCCACATCGAATGTCTTAGTGTTTTAATTTGCCTTGTTGTAGTTTGCCCCACACACCCAGGCTGGCATGAGCCTAGCCATGAATTTGGCACGGTCCCATCCACATCACTGATTCCTCATCACGGCCACATCCACGTCACTGATTCCTCATCACGGTCCCATCCACGTCACTGATTCCTCATCACGGCCACATCCACGTCACTGATTCCTCATCACAAGTCACCCTAGCAGACACCCATCTGAATTTCTTTGTTTGATGTAGACCTCAAAATTAAGTGACCTACTCCTGATAGCAAACATAGTTTGACAGTAAATAGTAACATTACCCAAAAATAACAGCCCGTATGAGTTTTAATGTATATGAAGACATTCCTTGCCGGTGTCCTCTTTTGAGGCTGATGGCTGGTCCTTGGGGGCCGTTTCTCCCAGCGTGCTGTGATGTTGTTGCATATCTCCACAGCTGTAATAATACCTAACGCAGCCCCCCCCCCCCTTTATATTTAGTTTTCAGTACTTTTCTGTATATTGTAGGTTGCTCTAACATTAATCCAAACATCCTTAATAATGTCTAAAATGAGGGTCTGGTCTGTTGGGGGCAGTGGTGGCTTTGGTTCCCCAAGGTACATTAGGGCAGTGCTTTGAAAACGGGGGTGGGGGGGGGGTGGTGGAATTGGAAACACATGTCCACCCCCTATCCTTGTTATCATTCTCTGAGATGGCCGATCTCCTGAGAATGAAGATCAGAACCTTCTCGTTTCTGCTATGAGAGGTCCTGCAGGACGTGCTGGAGGCATTCTTAAAGCTAAACGTGCTGCTTATCTGTATGTCTGTCTGGAAATGCTGTATTTTTTGTATTTTTAAGACCATGGCTTCCAAATATCTGGTGAGAGCAGCATAACGCCTACCTACATTACCTTACACATATTTAGCAGACGTTTTTATCCAAGACGGGGGGTGGGTGGGGGGGGGGGTTGGGAGAGGCCTGCGATTGAGAAGGCAGGGTCAGACAGTCCCTGGAGCAACTAGGTCTTGCTCACGGGTCCAGTGGTGATATCGCTTTGCCCAATCTGGGATTTGAACCAGTGACCATCTGATTACAGGCATAGCGTCCTAACTTGTTGAGCCACACACCGCCCCCCCATTAACGATTTGTAGTGGGATGGCTGGTTTTACACGGAATTAAAGCTTTTGAAGCATCGCTAAATTGCAGCATCAGGTGACTTTCCGGCCTGGTCAGCAGCAGCTCGCTGGGACGTGTATGGATTGTTTTTCAGGGGCTGCATACGGCTCCGCCACCTCATTAAGTGCCTGCCGCTGCAGTGCCTCTGTCCTGCACTGGGACATCCTTGAAGTGTGACTAAACTCCCAACGGGTTGGGCACCCTTTGGCTAGAGTCATGAATCATTTCCAGCTGCTGTCAGCCACGTGAGCTGCTTTTGTGTGTGTGTGCGTGTGTGTGTGTGTGCGTGCGTGTGTGCAAGCAGGTTTACCTATCCTTATGGGGACACCGGTCCCCATAAGGGAAAACTCTATTTTATAAAAAATCGGTGACTGCTATGAAAAAACTAGAAATGCAAAAACTCTTGTATTTTGTTTGGTTACTTATGCTTATGGTTATGGTTCGGGCAGGGTGGGGGTTAAGGTTGTCATAGTTAGCGTTAGCATTTTCCCCATTGAAATGAATGAGCGGTCCCCATAAGGATATGTTTACCCTAGACGCCAACATGTGTATGTGGTGTGTGGTTTTTTTTTTTCCCCCTGTGTCATGACTTCATAATTTCCCCTGAGAGGTCACCTGCCCCCCCTTCTCATGTTGAAGATTTCTATTAAAAATCTGGTATTAATAAAAAGCACAATTAATGTCTTATTTGGTTTTGTTTTACCTGCTCTGTTGGGGCCATGGTCATAATAGGCAGTTTTATGTACTCTATCACAGGCTTTGGGAGACACGCTCCAGTCAAACTCTGCGGCTCAAAACGACTGCAGAGTAAAGCGTTTAGGTATGTATGTTTGTTTTTTACCGCAGACCATGCCTTTGGTTACACTTCCAGTTCTTCCTGTTTCAACTCTTTGTGTAGTGGGTCAATGGCAGCTTCTAAATCACATGACTCAAACATTCAAACACCATTCTGATTGGTTTTTTCTATGCATAATGACTCCCTCTGTATGGTATTGTCCCATGGAAACAGGAAGTGGTCATTTGACCACGAAAAACACTGCGACGTAGTCTGACAGGTATAATCACAGTCAAGAGTTTTTGCACACACTGAAATATTCTACATTTGCGTGTTACTCACTCAACATTTCATAAAATTCAAAATTCAATATTCTTTGCTAACAAATTTACAGTATGTTCACCATCTGAGTACCTTTATTAGCAAGAAAATTTCAATTCATTCGATTCATCAAAGTAACCTCCTCTAGCAGTTATAACTACTGATATTTTAGGCATTCTTTCTGCAAAATACTGCTGTTTCATGTGATGAAACTGTTAATTAGTGCATTTAAAGTTAAAGGACAACCTAGTTTGACTGCCAGCACAACCAGTTAATATATCATCAGACATTCAATGGTTATATATTTGTTCCATGTTATGAAGGAAACTGTTTTATTCTAAAGTATTGTAAAGTTGAATGAACAACTATAAATGAAAATAAGTCAAATAAAACAAATCTGCTGTTTATGAAAGAAATGGAAAAGTGGTAAAAACCTGTGGCGTGTTAAACTTTTTGACTGGTCGTGTACTTGAAGAGTGACCATAAGTCGGGGAGGACACTGAGCTAGGACAGGATTTGTAAACTACTGTCAATTAAAAGGACCAGGAACACTTAAGCGCTGAGTTTTTGCTGTCTGCCGATTGGTCAGTCTCCTATATTCATGCATATATTGCTAATGTTAATATGAAACAGCTGGATGAGTCTTTCAATCAGGAAACAAACCAGTCAAAGCACAAGGACCACCAAACTGTTTAGCCAAGCACAGGAGCCTTTCAGTTTAAAAAAAGTAGTTTGTGAAACCTGAAGTAGCTTAGTGTCCTTCATTATCATTGTCATTATCTGATCACCTTCACCTGATGTGCACCACTATATGGTTGCAGGTTTAATTAGGGTGGGTTTTACTGAATTCAGCTTCAATTAACCTGATTTATGGGACTTGGGTCTGATTTTCTTTTATGAAAGGGAACCTGGATTAAATGACCATGAACTCAAACTGGACCTCTAAATAGAACTGGCACGGCGAAGAGCCCAGTGCTCTGAAATCTGAGTTTAGAAAGAATGAGAGCAAATCTCTTTCTGGAGTCCTTTGTATATGTTGATAGTTTGGTCACAACCAGCAGCTTTGAAGTTTATCACTAGATGGGTTTGTGCTTTGGATGCATTCAATAAAAATATGAATATTTGAGCCCTTGGGGTCATATGTGACCCCTTCTGACACCATCCCAGCTCATTCAAACCTTGCATGTTGCGTGCCCATTTTCTGACCGGATCCTCCACTCCTCTGACTCACCCTAATAACACCAAATTGGACTCACAGCCAGATTGCCTTGGTGGCTAAGTGGTTAAGGGCAAGAGTTTGTGACTTGGAGGTTGCTTGTTCATGCCGCAGAAGGGGCTCCCAGCTGGCATTGCTTCAGGCTGTTGTTGAAGTATTTGAGTTAAAGATGGTTGAGGAATTAGCGATTATAAGACCTTCAATGAACAGAGTTCTGTGCACATGTCTCGCTCTGTAAGTGGGCCAACTGATAGTCATTGAGTATCTAAGGTTCTGCGCTTTGTTCCTGTACCGTTTCATTTTCTGTACATTTTTTTATTATAAGCATTGACAGTCACTTAACGGATCCCTTAAAATTTTCAGCATCTTTCAAGGCCTGACAGGAAACTCTATCAGAACCAGTGAGGTGAAAATTTCGGCATGCAGCAGCCAGTCACTTCCAGTTGGAAAAGCCAAGTGGAAAGAAATTAAACATTGGCTAAAATTTAAGTTGATTTATAGGTTGAGCTGCCAGTGTTGAAATTCTCCTATGACACGTCGAGTTTCATATTTCACACCTTGTCATAATCATCCAGCTAGTGTTTATTTGAGAGTCAACTGGAGCTTTTTTCTGCTTTCCCAGATGAACTCTGGAGGTGTTGTGTAAGCTGTCTCATCCATCTCACACACAATACTAATAATTAGAAGTTTCAGTTTGGCAGGTCCCTAAGTAACCCCTTTTTGTTTCTTTCCGTAGCAATCAAAAGGAGTCTTCATTGGAAGATAAGGACAAATCAGCCAGGAGTCCGAAGGACATTGATGTCAGTCTCCTGGCTGTTCTTCCAAAAGGTGGGTGATGCTTGTTCATGTAAAACCAAGTGGTGAGCCCCTGGGACGAATATGTGGGAGGAAGGGGGATGGGGGGATAGGGGCGTTTTTTAATTAGTTTAATCACTGAGCATCCTGGTGAATCTTATTTTTAATGAGCTTGTAACTCAAGAGCGAAGTCCTGTATCTTGTTTGAATGAATAGTTTTTTTTATATGCTGGTCCAGCTGTGTCTGTGTTTTTTGCAAGCATATCCCCCCCCCATAACAGCGAGTGCAGTCCCCCCCCCCGTATCGGCGAGTGCAGTCACGCACATAAGGAGCTTGGAATACGTTTCTGAGACCCGTCCGGTTACCCACTCTTGTTTATGTTGCATATCCTTCCATTGCTGTTGGCTGAGATTGTTTTTTTGGCCCATTCCACTACAGCTGGGATCGCAGAGCAGTGTTCTGGTTACTCCTTGCATTTTCTGCTCCCCATATGACCCCCCCCCTTGACGAATGAAGCTGTGACCTCCAGGTCACTTTCATTTTCTTTCCTCTCTTCCCAAGTGCCCTTCACTCGAATGGCTGTACACTCTCCTACTGTACAAACTCTACAGTATAAACTCTCAAGCCTCCGCCGTCTCCTAGAATAGTGCTTCTCAGTTTGAGGATGTCTAAAAATATCCCTCCTCCCGAGAGTCCACCTTCAGCGCTGATCTCGCATCATTTCTCCTGGAAGGGAAGGAGCAGTTTCTGTCTTGACTCCTCAGGTTGGAGCGGGTGATGAAGGGTCTCGTCTGTGGACATTGGTGCAGATGGATAACTGCAGCCGAAGGCAGGGTTTATGTGTCAGATCTGAGGACGTGCTCACCACAGCTGCTTTGTGTGGCACTCCTCTTCCACTAGCATGATCGTTCTATAGGCACACTCTCTCGCTCGGTCTGGCTCTTCTGACATACTGCGTAAATCAGGACAGCCTCCACCTCGCGGTTTTAATGAAGCAAATCCTCATGCGTCTAGGTGTCAGGGCTGCTGGGGAAGCTGTAAGCATCTGTGGAATGCCTGACGTCTGTCATCTTTTTGTTCCGAAAGTCGCTAGAATGCAGGCCCGAGGCCTCTCTGGGCCCCTGAAAACAGCCTTGACTGTATATCTCATCTGGCGTCTTTGTCTTGGAGACACTGACATCCTTTCTGTAATAATAAATCAGTCTGTATACATTCTGTCATTTCCTGTAGTCTCCATGCCCGGCAGGAAAGTGTTAGACACACAAAAGCAGTTGACGTTATTCTCTGATTTACTGCCCTGTGAATCTGCTTTTCAAGGTGTGTGTGTGTGTGTGTGTGTGTGTGTGTGTGTGTGTGTGTGTGTGTGTGTGGCCCCGCACATGATTTAACAGATCATCTGTACTGTGCCGTACAGTCATTTCATAGCTATTTCATTCATTAATCCCCTTATTGATCTGATCTTCTCCAGTTTCAGAGTTGAGGAAGCGCTTTGAAAACAGTGGCCCGCGTGACTTTGAGATGAACCGGTAAGTCTAACTCTGATACCTCTGTTAGGGGGAAGGGAGATGGATCGGGAATCTCATATACGGTATAACCACTGCATGTCGTAGTTGTGTGAATTGTAAATGACTATGCATTTTAACTTCAGAAAATCATTATTCAGTTGTCTTTCTTTTTACTAATTTAACCAGGTGAAGGCATTCTGTTTTAGTTTAGAAGTCATTGACTGGTGTTTAGGTGTCTGTTAAAGTGGGTGAGTAAGGTTGTATAGGATGATGATGGTGTGCTTTAGGGTGCCTGCTGACAGGTCTGTATGCCCATAAGTGCTGACTCATCTGTGCTGAGCCTCTCCCCGTCTGCATAGCAAGGAGAGGATGACGCGGTGCGTGGAGAGTGATCCCCAACCCGCCGGATTGGTGGCCGACAGGCTGTTAGAGGAGGACATGCCGCGCTACACCCGCGCCTCTGACCCCTGTGACCCCTGTGGAGGTATTTGGTTGCCCGTCGTGGGTCACGGCCTGACTGAACCGCACCCCTGTGGCCAACAGGGTCACAAATCCCATCAACCTTGTTTGAGGCGGTACAAGCATAGTTTAAATGGCTCCATCGTCCTAAAACAGCGCTAATCAGGGAACAATGTAAGGAAATTTAAAAAAAAATCTTAAGACAAAGGTATAAATTGCTGCTGTTCTAACAAAGCTTATTAGCATGTAGAACTGCTCCCCTCAGCGTTTTCTAAGCTTCACTGAAGAAGGCCAGCTCTGCATCGTCCTCATTTTGTGTTCCAGTTCTGGATCAGGTTCTCAATAAATTGCAGCTCTTTCTGTGTGCCTGTGTCTGTGTGTGTGTTATCTATTTTTTTTCTCGGCAAAATACAGCAATTGATTGTTAATCTTTTGCCGTGTGGTAGGATGCACTTAGATAGTGAGGCACCTGCACAAACAGTTATCGCGAATGATCTCTGAAATTTGAGTGTTGTGATGTATCTGCCTGTTGTGACTGTTTTGAATGAGGAGATTATCTGTTGTGTGCCTCACACAGAGCTAATAAACACGGCAATGCAGTTAAGCCTCAATATTTTTTACTGATAGCAGATGAGGCTTTGAAGTCCACCGTGAGTGGGATTCTCCTAGGCTCTGGCTAATCTTAAATTTTCCAGGAATCAACATTTTGTGCGATAATCCCTCATACCCTTGCTTGACTGCTGTTTCTTTCTGTTCCCCTCTGCCCCTCGTTCCCAAATCTTCCTCCCTGCAGTCACAGTTGGACGATTAAATAAGGAGGGAACCCAGAGCCCAGAGATGTTGGACCCAGCTGCAGAGAGGCAGTCCAGGGCCCGCTGCCGTGCCGAGGTCCACGCTGCTCACACGGAGTCCGATCCAGCGGGCCTGGAGTCCAAGGCAGAACGGATAGCCAGGTATAAAGCGGAGAGGAGGCGGCAGCTGGCTGAGCGCTACGGCATTTCACTGGACCGGGAGGTGGACGAAGACTACGCTCCCCGTTACGTCAGTCACCGCAAGGAGCGTGATGGGCCGGAGACTCAAGTAGCTCCAGTGTCCTCAGAACGCCAACATGCCAGCGGGAAGGAGGAGGTGGAAGAGGTGATGGAGAAAAGTCATAACCAGGCATACCTGTGCAGCAGTACGAGCCCTGCACCGGGAAAGATTTTGGCAGAGCCCGGTGTGCGCTGGGAGGAGAGCGGTGTCTCCGAGCGCGAGAGACTGATGAACCTGGAGAACTACAGGCGGGGACAGGGTGAGGACCTTGGCGACCAGCCGCCTTACATGGACATGTCTGCCTCAGCCCAAGGACCCGCCAGGGATGGTGCCAGTGCACTAAGGGCCTCTCCGCCCTCCCCGAAGCATGGCGCCTCCCCCGGGGACTTACTCATCGAGCAGCATGCACAGGCCGTCCTCAACAGGCAAGGGTGAGTTGTCAGCAGCAGGCCCTAGCATTTCTGCTAATGCTACCTCTCGATAACGTGTCCCCTGGGGCTATGGGTCAGGCTTTGTTGGGACATACTTTTTATGATATGTCGGCGACTGGGCGTGTCCAAATGAGATAATCGTCTGCTGGGGGAGGTTTCTCCTTCGGGGAGCTGATGTGGTCACCTTTCAGGCATGCTTTATGTTGGTACACTGCGGCGTGCTCTGTGGTCAGTGAACCTATCTAACCGCACAGTGAAGTCTGGGCTAGTAGTCTTGTGCATGACCGTAAAACTTCTTGTTTTAGGTTCCTGCTGTACAAGTGGTCAAGTGAGGAATTTCAGATTGTTAATGAAACCACTTAGACACTGGGCTCCAAGGGCTTTTGCAGTTTCTGTTGTTTGGGGTCCAATTGAATGCCCTACTGTAGGGGATGGGACTTATCAGGGTGAAATATGCAGGCATTGGGTCAGGACCATGTATTGGAGTCTTCAAAAGCAATTGGTGATCCATCATATATGAGGTGTGCACTGTGCAGACATTCGACCAGGATCAGGACATGCTTCAAGGTCGGAGTCGTGGGGGTGAGTAGGCAGAAGTCTGAGCTCCCAGCTGGTGTAGGCAAGGGCCCTGGCTTAGCTGATCACGAATGTCCAACATCATACATTTGTCACCCCTCCGCCCATTAGTCTCTGATCAAATTTCACTAAAGCCCTATTTTCAGGGTTCATCCTGGCTTACTGTGGAGGTGTATGGTGCTCGTAATGACCACTCCATCATGGGCATAGTTGAGTCCCATAATGCCCCATAAGTGATGGATTCCACTGGAACTTAATGGACTTATTGCATCCCTACTGCTCATCTGGAGAGTGGCGGGTAAACTCTTGGTATTTGCATGGTGGTTGTTAGTGGTTGGATATCCTGCTTACTGCCAGCTGTCCCCATACAGCATTGAGGCGAAACCAAAGAGCGATTGGTTTCTTCAGACCGATTTGGAAGGCGACACACAGTCTCTAATCAACTGGCCATCCAGGTACTCTCGGATGCGTGGGTGTGTCAGCCCTGTGAACCCTAATTAACAAGGATGACTAACCCATCGCTCTATGGCCCCCTTAACCAATGGGGTTCTCAATGGGGGTAAATCTAGTTTTCTTCACTTAAGTGTGTGAGCCAACATTTTCAGATCTGTTCTGCTGCTAATAATTTGTACTACAATTCACCTGGTATTGTCCCAAATTTACTGATTTCACTCTTAGGTCTGTACAGACTGTACAAAATATTGTGGCTGATGACTAAACATGGGTAGTTGCAGAGACTGGTACAACCTAGATGCATTAGATTTATTGGTCAATGTAATAAACTGCAAGAACCATGACTTGCTTATCCTTAAACTGTCTGGCATATACACAGGGAACACTTTAGGAATGAGCAGTTCTTAATCTGGTAATTCCATAATCGAAGCAGATTGTTTCAGACAGAGCAATAGTCTTGTGCTGGTTGTGGACCTCATCTGAGGAACAGATGATGGAAACTAGGTACTCTTATGCTGGAAACAGGACACAGCTCCTCCCTTTCTGTTAGATTGTTCATTTGAGGTAGACAAGTATGAATGTTTGTTTTTCAGTTAATTTGCAAACAGATGTTACTTTGCCACCAAATTAAAAAAGGTAACAGAACAGCTAGTCATTGTTTGCATAGCTACCGAACTAGCAGTACTAACAGCGTGAGCAATGGTCTCTAATGTATCATTAATATCAGGAGTACGCAGTAGATATAGGGTAGTTATTGCTTTATATAACACAGCTTTAGTTGCTCGGTTGGTTTTGTTTTTGATCATTTTTGTGGAGTGACTACCTAGCTGCTAGACCCTTCAGCAGGACACTTTTGCAGTGAATGCATCACAATTCATGTTAAGTGTCCATGTCCTTAACCAGTGTCCTTAACCTGTGTCATCATGGGTCAAAGGTCCCCTGTTCCTTTGGCCTCTTACAGAAGATGCATTAATTGCATCAGTGCTGGTATTCATCGGGTCTGCGGTGGCCTGCTGGAGCTTCCAGCATGACCTCTTGGCGAGGAACGTCTGTCTAGTTTATCCACCCACACAGGTCCTGATGAAGGCCTTTGTAAATGAATGCTGAGTCCGTTACTCAGGGGATTTCCCTGCAGAGCTGGATGGGCCTAGGTGTTCTTTTATACTTATTAAATGGTATTAATTCCTGTCTCTCTCCTTGAAGAGTTAAAGTTAGAGAGAGGATGGCGAGGGAGGAAGGTGTCAGGAGAAGCCCGGAGTTGGCGCCGGATTCATTCCCCAGGGGGGGCGCCCTGGTGCCTCAGTACTCGGCCCTCCATCGTGAGCTCTTCACCCCCCAAATCACATGTGGCCCCATGACTGGGCCAGGGACTGCGAGGCAGCCCGAGGGCACAGACTGCCAGAGCTATCTGTCTGTCGAGGGCGCGTCAAAGACCTTCAGTGCCAGGAAGGAAGAGGATCCTGAATGGGGTTCCAGGGAGCTGGATGGCATTTGTACTGAAGGGCTTCTGAAGAGCCGGAAGGCGGTATTGCCCTCAGAGATTCGGCGCCGGGAGAGAAGTGTGGAGGATCTGCGCCGGGGCCACCGTGAGGAAGAGCCTTGGGCCCACAGGGCTAGCCAGAAGATGGGATATGGCACCCCAGAGGAACACGTGTCCTCAGCACATGGCTCTGGGGTGCGGCAAGGCAGGGCCCGGGACAGCCGACGACAAGGCAATACCTTCGTCTGCCCCCAGAGGGAGCCAGAGGCATTCAAGGAGAAGCCCAAAACACTGATTCGTTCCATATCTGATGCACCAGTGTCGTCTTCACGGGTGGCAGTGTTCCAGGGGCCGGAGCAGGGCACGGACGAGGGGATGGTGTTCCACGGCACTCTAACCAATGGAGAGCATGTTGCCTTGGACACCGGGGTCTCCGTGGCACAGCTCCGCCTTTCCTACCTGGAGAGCACCGGTGTCACCAAGAAACCTGAGCTGTATGTGGTACAGTATGGAGTGCGTGTTGGCCCTCCCTGACCGTAACCCCTAGTGGTCAACTTGCACGGTTTAACGCCTATGCTGTTCACGCTTTAACCGGAATGGGCTGCCTTTGTGCCGGTGCGCCGTGGACTGGTGCACCTCTCCTGCGTGTCCTAATCCCGCCTCTAGGGCGTCTTACACCCTTACCTGACCCCAGCTGCTGCAAGAGGCCCGCAAGGGGCCCACCCTCTTTGCATGAGGCTAACATGCCGGGTTATGGTGACCATTCTTTGCTCAGTTTAAAAACCCGGCACTCTGTTTGCAGTATAAGATCCGGGTTTTTAAAAAATCCCTTCGTCTCCATTTCGTCAGTCTCATGCTACTTTTTTGTGTCCCCCCCCCTTCCCCCTCTTGTCTTTCTTTGCTGGGTGTTTCTACCCCTGGAAAAAAAAACCTTTAAGAGAGGCTAAGGTAGAGCTGGGCAGGGGCTTGGCTGGGAGTGCGGAGCGGGGGAGGGGCGCTCGGAGGCCAAGGCGCTATATCTCCGCTGGTGATGATAGAAAGGCCTCTGAGAGATTTAGGACCCAGCCGATCACGTCTGCAGAGCGCCTGGAGTCCGATAGGTAGGCTGTGTGTGAGGTGTGGTACCACGGAGGTGGGGAGGGGATGGGGGCAGTTGCAATGGTGCCCGTGCATGCAGCACTACTGAGGAGGACTTCCTGTGAAGTCTGGCCATTAGGGAGCACTGTGTGTGTATTTTATATGAAAGTGTTTTTCAAATAAATTGGGGTGTCTGAGTTTCACGGCATTATCCCGCCAAACACTGGTGGGACCATGGCTCCCTCTGGCCTGTTCCTGCTCTATCCCCACTACGCTGCTCCCCCCTGGGCCCACAAGGCAGCTGAAACTTCATCGCTAGTCCTGTTGATTTTAACCACTCTGTCAACTTACCCCCTCCTGTTCCTTAACCATCCGGCACGTTCTGTGCTCTTGGGGGCCGTGGTTGGTGAAATCGCTAATGGTTCCTGCCTATTATTTTCCCTGCTGACACCTGCTTTTGGATGTCTTCCCACCCCCCCAGGTCCTGTCTGAGTCCTGACCTACAGAATACTGAAGGTTAGTACCCTGTGAAAGCCCCTCCCCCCACCCCCAATGCACACACCTACCTCTCCTTTGTGTGTGTCACTGTGGCACGACTGCTCTGTGCTCTGTGCATTAGTAAGACCTAATGGCCAATAAGTCTCAATAACCCCCCCGATTCAGATACACGTTTCAGCTTGTTGGGGTGACAAAATCTCTCCACATGGTGATATTTTAGGCTCTGAAGGTCAGAGCAAATTCAGAGGTGTTCTGGACGCTCCCAGTAGTGTGTGGCCCCCGTTATTCTGCATGGTAGGATCGGGCACATGTGTTTCTCATATGACGCACCGATGGACTTCCAGCTGGAAATACTCTGCCAGTGTCTATCAAGCCGCGTTACTCACGGATGAAGTAAGATGCGGAGTGGGGGCCTTCCCGGGGCCCGTGCCAGAGCCGCACCTGCCTGGGCACTGCACTCCTCACCTCCCCAGGTGTTGGTTGCGTGCTCAGCATAGGGGCCCATCAACATGCATAGCGCCCCATGCTGGCTAGCGGCAGAACTGCAGAGCTGGTCCGGGCCTGCAGAATTAATTCCTAGTGCATGTGTTAGGTGTGTTGAGGGAATGGATAAGGTTACACTCTGCTTAATGTATGTTTCAGGATATTGTGTTATGTGACATTAAGTGCAGACTAATTTGGAATTATGGTTTTGTCCCCGGAACGTAGTAAAAAAGCTAAATTATAATTAGCATTATTACATATTCAAACGTGCGTATTCACTGAATGTCTGTGCGAGCTTCTGATCCTCCTCAGGTTGTCTCATCATCCACATGCCTTTGCACGTGATTTATAGTGAACATCTGGTCGTGACTCTGCAGTGAGCGTATAGTCATTTCTGAGGCGCTGTTTTCGTTCTCTTCGCCGCTCACATTTTGTTTGTCGTTAACGAGACTTGACGAAACTCGCTCGCATTACACAAGTCATAAAAACCTTGTTCTTTGCCAGGCTCGTTATTGCCGTGCAGTTTAGTGGTAGGTTGCTATAAATATCTTTTTATTTGTTTATTTTGTGCTGGGCCGTGTTGGATGCCTCGACAGTTTTGTTTACATGCAGTTACCTCTTCATGCAACTGTTTTTACTGGCATCAGTTAGCTTTGAAGCAGTGTGAGCTGGAGTGCAGTTTCACAGCCCCCGAAAGAACAAGACGAAGTTCTTATCCTTATGGCCTCTTGCTTTCTTACCTACGTTGCCACCTGCTGGTTATAACTATTCTGACTGATCAGAGATTTCTGACAGCAGAACACACAAGACTCTCTGATGTATCCCCCCCCCACCCAAATGTCACTAATTAGTGGGCTTCCGAAAAGCTGCCCCAGGTCATCATTCTCCACTCTAAAACGACTCTGCAGCCCCGTCTTATTTTTGCTTTCTGTTAGTCTGTCCAAGTTGCTGCCTCTATCGCTTTCTGGCTCCCGAGTGCCACTTAGTACGTTTTTCTTCCTAAGTTGTTGCTTTTCAGCTCTTTTTCCCTCTTTCCCAATTTGTTTTCCTCTTTCTCCAGTGGATGACGAGAAGCTTGATGAGAGAGCGAAGTTGAGCGTGGCAGCCAAGCGGTCCCTCTTCAGGGTAATGGGCCCGTTTCTTGTTTTCCTAACCTCCTCCTGCACTCCCCCCACCCCCCACCCCGCCCCTGTCCTGCCCCGTGGGACATCTGCCACATCTGGCTTCATTGTATCACTAAGTCGTGCCTGGGTATCAGGCCCCCCACCCAAAAAAAAAACGCTGGGCCCCCTGCGTTCCTCTGGCCTGACTCAGTCTGCTTTTGGCATCATTGCTGATGTGTGAGCCAGCCAGCAGGGGGCAGAAGCATGTACCCTGATGCAGTCCGTGGTCCAATCTAACAAAGGGGAAATTTCACCAGAAACCACGGTTGGAACCTAGGAAACAGTGTTTTTACAATAAAAATAGATTACCAATATTAATGTTGGCCAGGTTTGATCATATCAAGAAAGTGATATATTAATCCCCCTCCCCAGGAGCTCGAAAAGACTACAGAAGGGGGGGCCCCCAAGCCCCGCTCCCGGAATGCAGCGATGGAACGCCGGATGAGGCGCACGCAGGACCGCTCACGCACCCAGCCCGTCACCACTGAGGAGGTGGTCATCGCCGCCACGTACGTCGCTGGGGAGACGGCGGACGGAGGGTGGGGGTTTTAGGGTACAGTGTAACGCTGCGTGACTGCTTTCTTAAGGTCAGCTTCCTAGAGGGTTAGAGCCATGTAAAGGAAGAAGCTCAGTTGTAAGCGAGGACGCCGCTGACCTTTTCCACTCAGGATCCAAACAGAACCTACACTTTGATTCCGCCTGCTTCCAAGGAACGGTCCCTGCCCTTTTATCTTGTGAAAAAAGGTCGTCGTTTTTGTCCCTTCGCAGTCCAGGAAGGAACTCAGGAATGTGACGATAGGAAGGGCCTTATTGCTGATGTTGAGGCAGCTGAGCGAGTCTGCAGAATCTCATTCCAGCCGTGCCTCTCCTCATGTCGCCGTCCTACATAGTGGCCAGACAGGCTGTAAACACTTCAGTTTTGCTTCCGTCATGCTTCCTCCTTTTCACACAGCTCGGCAAGGTCATGGGTTTCAATCCCGGGCCGCACACACACATTGTAAGCCTTTCCTCTGCTGTAAGTCACTCTGGCCATGAAGCATCAGATCAATAGCTTTCTGGAGATTTCCCAATCTCCTCTCCACCATTCTTAACGAGACGCCTAATTTTTCTTTTTCTGCTCTCCTTTGTCTTCCTGTGTTCCCTCCATCCTGCCCTGCTCACATTAAGTCCCCCCACGCCAGCCTCGACCGTCCACACCGCGGTCACTCGAGTTCCAAACCCAGCTGTAGTCAGCAGCTCAGAAACACGATGCAGGTACCAGGCTGCGAATGCGAGGCCCCTGGCATGATGCTCCACATCACCTCCTACCCACAAAGTAACTGTCACTCAGCACTGACATGGAGCTTTTAACACTTTCCTGTGGTCTCTTAATGTGTGTCTTTTGCAGCTAATATCTGTTAAGAGCTTGTTGAGTATAACCAGAGTAGACCTTGACAAAGAGCACCCCCTGCTGTTTGTGTAAGTGATATCTTTTTTTGCAAATAATGCTCCCCACACTGAAAAAGGTGAAACACCACACACAGCATCCAACAAACAGCTTTTGCAAAGGGGACAGTATTTACCACATCCCTTTAACTCGCCGGAAACGCATCTTACTAACAGAGAACCACAGAACATAATGTAGTCATTGCCACAGCTGACGGGAGAGATCGTCCTCTGCAGAGCTGTCTGGGAACCATCTGATACGGCCAACCCCAAACCACACATCAGTACGACGTTATGTAAGGGACTCCGTGTCTGGTTGCTCAAACGGCCTCATGGTCCATCTAGGTCATTTGACTGTCATGTGTGTTGCAAGATCTCCCGGAGTCGATCTGAGCCTGCTCCTGCTCCTGGTGTGACCAGCATGCTCCTGTATGGTTCTTCAGACCTGTTTTGCAATGGAAAAACTGAGACCTGGGCTCTTTTTTTTCCCCTGTGTGTGTGTATGCATGGACAAGGAATGTCGCTTCACTGCGTCCCAACATTGCGATTCAGTGTTCTCTCACTGTCCCTGTCACCATTCCTCCACCCCCCACAGTTTGCAGGCCTCTTCCCAAAAGACGTCTGCGGCTCCAGAGCAGTCTAAGGCGCCCCAACTGGCCCCGGGGTCCGAACAGGCGCGCCCGTCAGAGGACGAATCCCAGGAGCCAGATTTGTCCACCCTCAGCCTGGCCGAGAAGATGGCGCTCTTCAACCGCCTGGCCCAGCCTGCCACTAAGGTTACGAGTGCCCGGCCTGACCCTCGGCAGCGCCGGAGCAGCGCCCGCTACCAGACGCAGCCCATCACCCTGGGCGAGGTGCAGCAGGTACGGGGTGCCGTGATGGGGTCTTGCTCCTTGCCGAACACGCAAACATAAGGTCAGTCTTGTACTGCACTCTGACTATATAAGAGAAGTATGTCATCAAATTCAACATTAAACTTTTTGACGGCAGTAGTTCAACTTTTCCCACTGAAAGCTAATTATCTCAAATTTCCCTCTTATTTCTGGTTAAATGAAGTGAAGCTTATCTCTGATACAGGACCTGCTAAGTACAGATTCCTCTCTGCAGTCCAGTGGCTCTGTAGAACTTCTGGATGTCTATTATGAGACAGCTCAAGTAAGAATTGCTGAATTGCTCTGATTGGATACCTGAACATGCTTTGTCCTCATTGGCCCTTTTTTTCCGTGTTAGACGTCCCCAGGAATGCCTTGATCAAAGCATGCAATCGCAGGATGTCAGTCGTATCGCATTGTTGACGATCAAGACTTGAGCTTTTTGTGAAATGTTCATGAATGGAAATTTATGTATAGCTGTTGTGGATTTTCGGTGCCCCCACACCATGCGTCAATGAGGGGGATTGTGCGACTGGTCACCATATTTGTGTGTACTGTGCTTCCGCATGAAAAGAGTCTCTGTGCTTTTTGGTAAGAAGTAGCTCAGCTTCATTCTGGCTGAATGGCTTTAATACGCTGGCTTTAAACAGCATCTTGGAATGGACTACTGTTCCCTAGGGGGACAACTTTCATCAGTCTGTACCATTATACACAGAGGGGATCAAAGTCTAAGAATGGCTTTAGCTATGGAATATTTGTAAGAGGGTTGTTGCTTCATACCTCTAGTGTAGTTTACAGTCCATTTGAACATGTTAACACCCCTGCTTGTCTACAGGTCCAGTCAGACCAGTCTCCTGGTCAGTGCTTACTATATACATATCCTGTGGGTCACTGAGATTGAGGTGAATAGACCAGCAGAGATTTGACATTTATATGTGTGTTTATTTAATTGACATAAAAAAAAATCTCCCTCAGATGCCCCTTTAGTTTTAATTCCCCAGCGTGAGGTAGGCTTTAGTGCCTTGCAGTTGGATTTGTTGTCTTTATCCTCTGGCTGCTATGACCTTTGACTCTGCGCTTTGTTTCCACGGGCAGGATGTGTGGTGAGTCACAGCTGCCAGAGACTGATTACTCAGCTGGACTTGGCCCACTGCGTCACAGCATTATCGGATGTGCTTGACTATAGCATTTCTCTGAACCAGTTCTCAAATGCCTTTAACATCGCGCACCCCCCCCCCCC